TTTGGGTTCTTTGTGCCTAAACTATATAGTTGGTCCAATAAAAGATATAACAAAAATACTTGTTTCTCATACATTTACTGGACTACCATGGCTACAACAACACTCCAATCCTGCTACAACAGGCAAGAAATTATTTACTTAGAGAAAAATACCTATTTTTCTATTAGTCTTCCATGGCACAAGCTGATATTAAGGCACCAAATAATGGAAAAATTAACGTTCTAGAACAAAGTTCTTGTCTAAAGAGGAGGGCATATAGGTTACGTATGTTATATTTAGTCAAATACACCCATTAGAAAGATCCAGCTTTTCCTAGAGCAAGTATGCTTACCCTTTTTTGTAGACATGCTTTTCAAAAGGCATATTTACTTGGCTCTCACTAGAACTTGTAATTCCAAAAGCATATACAAACAAATAGGGGAAAATATGTGTATATTGAATTACATAACATTATAGAGTATTTCTTTACATTAGGAAAAAACAATAGTCCCCAAGTATAGTTTATTATTCCAATAATAGAAAAATACAATTTGTAAAACAAAATTATCAGCTATAAACAAAGACTGATGCAAGAAAAATAAACTAAACAGAATCATGCTGAAATTGGCTTAAGATACCTTAATGACTGCCAATTATACAGTGGTTATATACATTTTACATAGATTAGAACATTGTTTTAGTGTCATGTGCATTAATTAAAACACTCTGTGGATGTTTTTATAAGCTGGTGTGCCTTTCAGAAAACATGATTCAGAGATGTGTGTTCTGGTTTTACTAATTAAGAATGTGAATATGAAAATCGATTTCTTTAATTAAACACTAGTATAAAGTCTATGTTGCATTTGTTATTAGATACATTTTCTCTATGATGTCTATGCTTTATTGAAACAAGTTTTAAAAAGTATTTTCTATATCTTGACATTTCAAGTGTTCGTACAAAATTATATAATGCAATTGTTAAATTAAGAATTGGTTTTCTAAGTTCAACATGATCTGTGATTTATGAAATATAGATTTTTTAAAATATTTCAACAAGTAATGAACACTATTTTACTTATAAAAATTCTTTACACTTGATAAAGGTCATTTATAATATATTTTTAAATTTCACTCTAGTATTATAAGATTATCTTCCTATTAAAGGATTCTACAATTATCCATGATTTGTAGTACTAACTCAACTGATTTATGGCTATTCTGGCAAAACATTACTTAGCTTTTCAACTACCAAAGTGTTTTTGTGTGCAGGATTGCCTAACTAAAAGAGTAAAAATCATGCCTTGTCAGCTAAAATGGATCATGCAAGTTAGACATAAATAGGGAATGTTGAATAATAGTGTATATAAAGCCACATTCTCCCAAAAAACCTCTGTTAAAATATGTATTTCTGACGAATAAGTTTCATTCTGATTTGCATGAGGATTTCCTGTAAAACCAACTGTGTAATCCCCAACAAACTTTTAGCAGTTCCCAAAACAGAGATGAAACACACAAAACAAAACAATGCAGTGTGCATCTTTCGTTCTGAAAGTCTTAGACTATTCATAGCAGTTCTTGACACTAACACTTCCAGTTTATTCAAATAAACTGCCGTATGCTTATTTCAGTAATTATATTACTTTTAAAATGTATATCGTATTCACTAAAGCAACAAAAATAATTTGGGGTCTTAGTTACAAGGTCATGTAATCATACTTTAATTAAGATGGCAAACAAATAAAATATAGAATTGCACTCAAATACCTTCCCATATAAGTTTCTGTTTAAAAGCATTGTTTAAAAGCTAAAGAGAGTTCAAAAAAGATTCCACTAAATAAAATTGGTGGATTTAAAGAAAAGTTGAGAATGCAGTTTTCTCCTAAACTTTCAGTCAGAAGAGCAATTTTTTCAGTACAACAAACAATTTCATGATAATAAATGCAGAATTACCAAAAACTCAGTTATTCTGACTTCATTTCTTAGTAAAGTTTAATGGATTTTTACAATACCAGTTCCTCAAAATGGAAATAGCATTTTAAATAAATATAAATTAATGAAGACATTTTACACCATAAAAACAATGTGGATTATTCTCTTTGTTGATACAAAGTGAAAATAAAATGTATATTTAAAACAGAAACACTGGAGTATAAAATGTCTCTGGTATGAAATTGGAACAATAAATATTTTATGATTTTTTTTTCAAAAGCAGAAGACTAAAAATGGCTTTTTCATGTCCAATAGTGTATTCTATTTTTCTGATTTTTAACTGTTTCACAAAGCAAGTTATATGAAGCAAATTTAATGGCTTTAAAATCTATTGCAATTGATTTAAAGTTCAAATAGTATTTAATCAAATCCAAGCAAGCAATTTTTTCTGAGCAGAAATTACTCATTATTACTTATTGCTTTTCACACTAAATTATGTTTTGAAATTCCTGCCTGAAATCAATTTTTTTTCATACAGAAATCTTATTTTAGGTACTTTTCGAGGTTTATAAGTCTCCTCTAAGCCCTGGACAGTAGGACTAAACTACCTGGCCTTACAAGAAGAGAGAGAAAAGAAACACTCTCTTAACGCTTTAAAACACTCTCGAAAATATTTCTGAAATCACAGCTAGCCTTTTAAAGTGTGGCATTTTCATAATCTAAAATGGTGTAGCATTAAACATTGTTGACTCATCCAGTTTGCTAGCACAACACATGTATGGTTTCAGCAGTCAAATATACTGAGACCATTACAAATTCATGTAGAGAAAACATTTATACCATATAGAACCATCACATATATTTTTGAGCTGGGTAGGCAGGGTGCTTGGAGGAGGAGTTTTATGAACTGTCTGCAGTGGTTCTTAATGAAATATTAAAGTTGCAGATTTCAATACAGAATAATTGCCATGGAAATGAAAATCCCAAATAGCAACACTATTCCTCCTGCATCCATTAGTAAGTTGTACACTTAAGTGTTTAAAAGATCAGTGCCTGGTCAGGCAGCCTCCAAAAATAGGATTCCAGTAGAGTCCAAGCTAGAATTTAAAAATGTCTAGAAATCTTTTTTGGAAAGGTGCCAGCAGGTATGTGAATCCTTTTTCATGCCGAGAGAGAAAGAAAGAGATTTTACATTCCATGTACCTGCAGATTTGAATCTGGTCCAAAGCTGTTCAGGGAAAAAAAAGTTTAGTAAAAAGATTAAGAACGTTAGTTAGACAATTCTAAATAGTAAAAAAAATTAAAAAGAGGTAATGGCCATGTAGTTATGATATTATGTCAGTTGTGCGTATCTAAAATTATTGTTTAAAAGTTTTATGTATATTTAGATTTTTAGGTCATTTTATTACATACTTTAAGGTCTGAACTTTCTAATTTTTGCTAGGATTTTCTAACAAGTTGTCACTATCTTTTGCAAAATTAACATTAAATTTAACAAAGTTGTATAAGACTGCATATTTAATTTTAAAAAATCGTATTATAAATCAGGTTCCTGCAGATCCTTCAGTGCTTGCATGGATTTCTGCGAACACTGGTCCACGGGACACACAACTTTGTTAAAGGCTTCCAGATCTCCATTGGTGTAAGCTGCCCCTTCTGGCAGATGAAGCCAGGGACCTCTTAGTCTTTCTCAGCATTCTCATTCCAAGTGATGCTTTAAAACCACTCAGGAACAGGGATGGAGAGTGCCAATTTATTAATCTTCATCTTTGGTATGAACTGTTGAATCCATACCTCAAGCTTTGTTTCAGCCAGGGGACTTAATGACAGCTCAGAGGACCCATGAAATTAAAAAAAAACAACAAAAAACTGTTTTCTGTGCATCTCTCAGACCGTTAGTCTTTTAATCACATAAGATCTTATGTACATAAAACTGCTAAGTCAGCTTCAGCAGATCAAGACCTAGGTACATAACACCCTATGTGCCAATGGCTTCTGCTGGTAAACACAAGGAATTGTTATACTTAGTGCCCTTTTGGCCAAAGAAGTGAGAGATTCTGGGTCTGGCCTGCTCCCACTGTGACTGGTGGGCTGTAAACTCCAGAACTGCCCAGCGGGTCTCAGACGCATTTGGTGGAATGGAGCAGCTGGGGCCAAGGAAGGGGGTGAGCTGCCGATGCCTGGCCTTCCCCACTTGCAGTGGGAGAGCAGATTGGCATCTGCATTTTCCCGTGGAAAATATTTCCTTAACTGTTTGCAACCCACTTTGCCCAAAGCCCTCCCTGCTTCAGCAAAGCGGCCACCCTCGAGCTCCCCCCGCCCCGCCCCGCCCCCCAAGCCTTGCGGGGTAGGGGCTCCTCTTGATCGTTTTGACCTGCACAAAACCGCCCCCCGCCATGATCTCGCAAGCCTTTTTTTTGGGGTGGGGGCATAGAAATCTAATCAACGCAATAAATAACTGCTTCATCTGATACATAACTCCTGCAGCACAATAAATAATTGCTGCATCCTACTTGGTCTAATAAAAGGTATCATTCTGAACCAATGTTTGCACCTGAGTAATGAAACTCTTTCTGCCAGGACTGGCTGTCCTGGGAGATTGGTGCATGGAAAGTCCCAAGCAATGAAGACTCAGCCGTATTGATTCCCAGCTTGTTTGCACAGCCTTAACCTGTTGGGCCCAACGAGCATTTTGGGTTGGGTTGGGTTTGTTGTTTTGTTTTGTTTTTGTGGGGGGGTGTTACAGTCGAGGCGAGACGGCAGGCGGTGTTCGTGCAGCGCCGAGCACTCAGGCAGGGCGCACGGGGCCGGGCTGGGTGGGTGCCTGCCTCCCGCCGCGGCGACCCTCGCGGTATGCGGCCGCCTTTGGCAGAGGCACATGAAGGATTTCATTGAGTGTGAAGACAGAGAGCAGAGACAGAAAGCAGAAGGAGGCGGCCGCAGCCTTTGTAGTCCTGGAGGAATGCGGAAATGTTGAAGCACTATGTCAAACTTTTTTGAAATGGGGTCAAGTCACATTCAGCCAGCGTGGGAAAGCCAGGGGGAGGGAGGCGCTGCTCCCAGGCGCGGAGGGAGGGAGGGAGCGGGGGCCGGGGCCGGGGCCAGGGCCGGAGCGAGCGGCGGGGAGGGCTGCGCCAGAGCCCCGCGCAGGGCGGTTGCAGCCCGCCGGCTTTGATCCGCTGCGGGCTGCTTTAACACGGGACTTTCTCTCTCTCTCTCTCTCTCTCTCTCTCTCTCTCTCTCTGTGTCTCAGGCAGGGGCGGGGGCAGAGCAGGCCGGGCTCTGGGGCGAGCCCGAACCCCCGCCCCGCGCGCGAAGGTGCAGCCCGGCGGCGGCGGGACGATGCGAGCGGAGGGCAGCGGAGCCGGGGAGGAGCTGCCTCGCTACCTGTGTGGCCCGGGCCGGCGCGGCGGGGACCTGCCGGGGACATCACCATGTGAATGAAGGCCGGGTGCCCGCTCCGGCCCGTGCTCCGCACAGCTGCATGGGAGGCGCCTCGCAGGGCACATTCCTGCCCGCGGCGGCGGCTTAGCCGGGCTCTGCGCGCCCCGCGGGGCGGCCCCAGGTAATGCGGGAGGCTCCACGTGCTGCCTGCACCTAGCGGCGGGGTG